AGGCGGGTCTTGAACCCGCAGGCTCAGGCAATCCACTCACCTCAGCCTCCCAAAGGCGCATGATTACAGGCTGAGCCACCGAGCCCGGCTTATTATACACCTTTCAAAGCTAGTTCCTGGCATATTACTGAGAGCTAGCTGAGACAATGGGCTTGCCCATGGGACATCAAGTGATAATATATTATAACCTAGATTCTGTCAGGTCCTGAAGTCTAAGGTTGGGTGGGTCCACCAGCAGTCCTTCATGAGATTAAAGTGATGTGTACAGGGGGGCACAAGCAAGGCTGAAAGGCAAAAGAGAACTACATAAGCAGGTGACTAGACACCCTGTCACATGCCACTGTTGCTTCTTCCACACTTAACATCTATAGCCACGTGGGTCAGGGGATCCCTCATGACCAGACGACAGAATAGGAAGAGGCTGAGCTTGGTTAGTGTATGGGTTGTCTCAGCAAGCAGAAGTAGTCTGAAAAGAAACTGGCTGCACTATAGTCCCATTTAGAGATGGCCTGTGTATGTGCCTGAAGTCAGTGTATAGACTCATGGGCAACAGAGGATGACCTGGCTGGCTGATCAGGAGCCTGGAGGAAGAAAAGTTAAAAGATCAAAAACAGGTAAGTCTGGGGAAAGGGCCTGTAGTGTACCTGAAAATGGGTATAAAGTATGATGATCTTGGTACTGCAGGTAATGCCCACCACGGAAAAGACACCCAACAACTAAGTAGGTGGAATGATTTAGCCAAATAATGTCAGCCAGCCTTTGGTGCTGGCAGGCCAATCCTGGCAAAGGGAGCATATGAATGGGGTGCCATGGTGGAGGCAATTCATGGACCCAACACCATGGATTTACTAAGTCTGATATAACCACTGCTGCTGTGAAAGTCCAACTTGCCAGCAACAGAGACCAACACAAAGCCTGATGTCACCATTCCTCAAGGAAACCATCTAGCCACTTGTTGGTAAGTTGATCACACTGTATCCTTGCTATCTCAGAAAGAGCGGTGATCCATCTTGACTGTGAACTGATGTCTATTACGGGTGTGGGTTCCTTTCTTGCCTACAGAGCCTCAGTTAGCACCACCATCCAAAGGTTCACAGAACTTTGATGCACTGGCATGAGATCCTGCATCAAATCATATCCAATTGAGACCCACTTTTTAAGCATGGAGGTACAGCACTGGATACATGACCATGGGATGTGCTCTAATCACATACCATACTACTCAGAAGCTGCCCCCGACAGTGATGGAAGAGCCTGCTAACAGCACAGCTAAGTTATCAGCTTGGAGATGATACCCCGTGAAGACGTGTTACTGACCTCCAAGATACAGCAAGTACCCTGGATTCATAGCCATCCAATAGTGTGGTATCCCTAAGTAAAATACACGAGTCTGGAAACAAGGGTTGGATGTAGGAGCAGAACCCCCCATTGTCTTCACTCCGTGACCCAACTGAGGAAGCTGCCTCCCATCCCAACTCTGGGCTCTGAGGATTTAGAAGTCCTGGTTCCCAGAAGGGGAATATTTCCACCAGTGGTTATACCAAGAGTCTCACTAAACTTTAATCTATGGCTGCCACTTGGTTGCTTCAGATCACTACCAAGCAACAAAGAGGTAAAGAAAGGAGTCACTATACTGGCAGGAGTTAACTGACTTGACCATCAAGAGGAAGGGCTGCTGCTGTTACACAGTGGGGTCAGGGAAGAGTATCTTTGGCGCCCAGGCCATTATTCACTTGAGCCCAACTGCAATGATGAACGAACAGCTATGGCCTGAGAAGGGAACGCTGGCCAGGCAACTCACCTGGAATGAAGTGCAAGGCTGCGGGGGGAGGAATCTAGAGTGGGTAGCAGAGGGAGAATTCCAGATGCAGACTCAAGACAAGATATGGCAGCAGGGGCTGTGGTCTGTCCCCACATACTCCTTTTAAGTTTTCCCAGGAAGAGACCCATTACAATCCTGAAGGAACCATCAGAACGTAAGCAGCAAGTTGATCTGAGGAATGCAAAGGGATGGACTGTAGTGGTGACTGGTGTGCTGCCCCAATCTCTCTTCAGGACTGAAGCGCTCATTCCCCAAGCTGCTGAGCATGTCGACGGCTAACACCTGAGCCACCTCGGGGGACTGCCCTTGGCTAAAGGCAGCCACCTCACCCAAGAATATAACCCTTTCCTGGTCTAGTGGAGGTATATAGGTAGAGCCCACTTGCTCTATTCGGGCATCATAGTTTAAACTCCCTGTGGCACTGACTAAGGCCTTTGTTATTATCAGCTCAACTTCTCCTTCTACCCAATCCTGCTTCCTTTACTTCCCCACAGGTATTGATTCACAGAACTCCCTCCAATCAACTTCCTGCACACAAATCTTCAATTCAGTGTTTTTGCCAAGAACTCAACCTATAACAGGTATTTAAACACTTTTTGAGATTAGCTGTGTGCAATATGTGCCTGTTGGCTCAATTTCAGTGAGTTTCATGATGGTGGTGACACTAACAGAATGGATGGGATCACTGAAATTGTAAATTTCAGATTCAAATGTGGGCTTGCAGTTGAGTTCCTCTCCAGGCCTCAAAGGCACTTCTAGAAGGGTAGAACTCTATGCTTCAGTCTAGGGGCTAATTCTGGATTAACTGGGGTGGAGGGTGTATGTGTTTGCCTCAATCCAGATTCACACTACCAAAAACCTAGGGGCTCTCCAAGTTAATGAAGACTCAAGTTAACCTCTAAAATCCTCAGCTGAGCATGCCTACCAAAAGCAGTGACATCTGGCAAAAAGAGGATCCTGCTGGGAGAAAACTGGCAAGGAGATGCTCCTGTGGTACTACAAGGACATTTGTCTGGGCTTCAAGATGCCCAAAGAGGCCACTGAGGTACCCAGACCGATAAGAAATGTCCCCGGAAAACGCTTTCATCACAGAGTAGATCCTGTCTGGTGTGGTGACCAGGATGTGGACCACTGTTACCCATTGGGACTACCTCCACTACATGTGCAAATACAGTTGCTTCCACAAGAGCTACAGGAACATGTCTGTGCACCCATCCCTCTGCTTCAGGGACATCTGGGCCAGCAACATCATCATGTTGGACAAACGCCAGTCTGAGCAAGATGGTGCACTTCAACATGCTCAAGGTCACCAATGCCACTGGGCACAAAGAAGCAATTCCAGAAGTTCTGAGCCTGGATGCCAGCCTATTCTCTGAAATTTAAAAAAAAAAAAAAAAAGGGTTTTTTTGAGTCAGAGTCTCACTCTGCCACCCAGGCTGGAGTGCAGTCGTATGCTCATGGCCACTGCAGCCTTGACCTGCTGGGCTCTGCAATCTTTCCACCACAGCCTTCCATGTAGCTGGAACTACAGGCGTGCACCACCACACCAGGTTATCTATCCATCTATCTTAGAGAGGAGGTCTTACCATGTTGCCCTGGCTGGTCTCGAACTCGTGGGCTCAAGCAATCCTCTTGCCTCAGCCTCTCAAAGTGCTAGGATTACAGGCGTGAGTCATTGTGCCTGGCTGAAATGTTTTTCCCATTCAATAACAAGGAAAGAAATGCTGTATTTCAGATAGTACTAGTGCCAGACCTCAGTTATGGAGTTCTGGCAAGTGTGAAGTTGAATATACATATCAGTGCAACTACTGATACAGATTTCTCATTAGTTGGGATGAGATGAAAGTGCTTACCTGGCTCAGAGTGGTAGGTGAGATCAAAAAGGATGACAGAAACTAATCTCTGGGCTTCAGGTAAGGATAGCAAAGGAGTCCTTGAATTGTATGACCTCACATTGTATTTTAGAGACTCTGGCACAATCCACCTGTAAACAGATGTTCTTTTTTCTACTAATGAAATTCTAAACTTATACAAAACCACCTACTTCCTTCATCTTCCATCAGAATATCTATTCTAGATTTAGAATGACTAGATCTCTATCTTAATCTTGCTCTGGAAATAAAGGTATCTTCTTTTTCAGAATTTCAGGAGCTGGTTCAAAAACAATACAGAAATTCCCTTTTTAAGCTTCTTCTGATGCCAGTTTCATTTTCTCCAGCAATTAATCTTAGACTTTATTCAGATCTCTTTAGAGCAGTAGAATCCATTATGCTTATTCATACTGATGACTTGATCAATATATTTAATGAGAGTACACGTTAAGACCAAATTGTCAGTTTATCCAGTGTTCATATCATACCAACTGTGAGACATAGTCTGCTAATGTATTCCCTTCTTCCCTCTTTAGCAGCAAGCCTCAGTGGCTCAAGAGGACATCCCACTTGGATGTCCTGTCCCCAGTCTATTCAAGCCCAGTAAACAACACCTAGAAGGAACACAATCTCTTTATTTCTGCTTGAGATACAAATGTTCCATTTGGATGATCAGTATGAGCCAAATATCGGAGACAATGGCTAGCTCTTCTGCTTGTTCCAAGGACTGTTTCAGTCCACTGTATCCAGCTTATCAAATCTATGGCTTGGTACTTCTTGAGCAGGATAAGGCTGGATGTGATGACAGTTAAAGACAAAGATGGCAGATATGGAGAATTCACCCTGTATATGCAGTTCAGTCTGATGTCTCCACATGTCCTCTAGCATTCCACATTTGGTCAGAGCAACAAGTGAGATCAGGGTGCTGGCCCATTTTTGTTCGACTCTTCTTCTGATTATGCTTTGCTTCTTTGGAGGGAGAGTAGGTTTATCTTGTCTGGGAGGTAATGGGGGCCATGCCCTTGGCAGTTTGCTGAGCTAACCAGTACTTATATCTTTTTGTCTTGGGCCGCTCAAAGTTCACCACAGACATCGGCACTCTCACAGTGTCAAGCCCATTTACCTGTACACAAAGCAAAAAAAAGTTTCAGAGATCAGTCAGGCAGATAAAAGTTAATACCACACAATTCCAGCTTTCCATCCAGATTTTTCTCCCAGTCAGAAAAAAGGAGAGCTGGGCCGGGCATAGTGGCCCACACCTGTAATCCCAGGACTCTGGGAGGCAGAGGCAAGAGGACTGCCTAAACCCAGGGGTTCAAGACCTCGTCTCTACAATAAATCAAAAAATTAGCCAGGCGTGGTGGCATGTGCCTGAAGTTCCAGCTATTTGGAAGGCTGAAGTGGAAGGATAGCCTGATCCCAGCAGGCAGAGGCTGCGGTGGCTGTGGTGAGCATGACACTAAACTCCAGCCTGAGCAACAGATTGTGATTTTGACTAAAAAAAAAAGACAGCTGGGCTATGGAGGCATGCAACTACAGTCCCAGCTACTTGGAAGGCTGAGATGGGAGGACTGTTTGAGCCCTGGAGTTCGAATCCAGCCTGGGCAACATAGTGAAAGCTTGTTTCAGGAAAGGAAAAGGGAAAAAGAAAAAGAGAAAAACAGGAAAAGGGGAAGAGAAAGGAAAGATAAGGAAAAAAACAAAATATGTGAAATACTCACTGTCACCTCACACCAGTACTCGCCCCACCGGGTGATAGGCTCTTCTGGTAACTTTAAGGCATGTGGGGCAACCACAACACCAAGCTGAAAAGAAAAGAAATCACTGCTAAAATGACCTCCATCTTCATGGCTGCCAAACTAGATAATTCATAGAATTTCTTTTACAGGGATGAATAAAACTGGGATGTGTATTCTGGTTGATTCCATGGGAGGGCACAGACTTTCACAGGTGATAGTAGAGAAACTCAGTTCTAATTTCTCAGAAGGGGAGATGGATTCACAAAGAGAAACAGGGCTTGAGACCAAAATCACTTTATGTACAAAAGTAACAATTTTCCAGTGAGTCACAAATCCCCAGGTTTTCCCTAGCCAGATAGGAAATAAATGGAAACCACCACCTTTTCCTATCAGTCTTTTAATGCTATGTAACCATCCTTAGTCCTTAGCCATTACTCCCCTCCATGCCCCTGCTAAACCACCAAGAACACATTCCTGACTCCAGTTAGAGGACCATGCCCTTTCCTAACACAGCAATCAATCCTGGGCCTCCTTCCCGGAGGTAGCTTTTATGCTCAGGGGTAGAGTGGTATTTAGGAATACTCACATTCTTGAAGAAGTGGCGGGCAACTATTTCAGGGTTCAGCTCCCATTTGACATTGTTTTTCATGCCTACCTCCAGGCGACAGCTTCTCAGAAATTTCACTGTCTAAAAGAAATTACAGAGGCTAGGTTAGAGCTAGAGTCTCTAGGAGACTCCAGAATACATGTCAGCAAGACGCAAATGGTCTGAGAGTTCAGGAAAAGGGCACAATTTCTGCATCATAACCAAAACAGGTGAGAAGACGAAAGAATATCTTTTGGGAAAGATATTCTTATTGCCTCAAGATTGATATTGTCAAAAGGTATTTCAGCAATATCTTGTAGGGGGGTGTCTCTTATACCTTGCTGTTCCTAAGCAAGGAGACACAGACTATGTCAAAGTCAGGATCATCAGTGGGGGCCATTAGTATATTTCAGGATAGAATAACTTTCATAGACTGTTTAAAACCAACGTTTCTTCAATCTCACCCATACCTCATTTATGGTTTCTCCCTGTTTACAAAAAAAAGGTATGAATTCATTATCTGGGAATCCAGGATTTGCTGCAAATTTCACCCTAATCCCCTTTCCAGCCATGTTCCCTAATTTTTTTTTTTTTTTTTTGAGGTGGAGTCTCACTCACTCTGTCGCCCAGGCTGGAGTGCACTGACACACTCACGGCCACCCCAGTGTTGACCTGTTGGGCTCCAGTGATCCTTCTGACTCAGCCTTCCAAGTAGGCGGAACTACAGGCACGTGGTGCTAAATCCGGCTAATTTTAAAAAAATTATTTATTGTAGAGACAAGGTCTTGCCAAGCTGCCCAGGCTGGTCTTGAGCCCACGGACTCGCCTCAGCCTCCCAAAGTGCTGGGATTACAGGCTGAGATTACAGGCCAGTTTCCTAATATTACATTACATAAATCCTTTGCTTTGGCTAAACTGTTGCACTTTCTATGTTAAAACAAATTTCTATTTATATTTTTCCCCCTTCAGAACAACTTTCCCACCCTCCTGGCATATCTAAAGTCTACAAATCCTATAAGACCTAATTTAATCTCATAAAAAAAGCCCTTCCCAATCACCCTAAAACCTATTATGGTCAATGGCACTCTTATAATTTACTGCTTTGAGTTTACGGATCACCTTCTCATCTGTCTATGTCCTCTCCAACCTGTTGCAAATATCCCCGAATGCAGAGCCCTCATCTATACTTTTCCATGGGTCCCCTGATGCCCAGATTGGGACTTCCCTCAATACTCTAGGGAACTTTATCCAATACATCAGGATCTCCCAAGAGGTTTCCACACTAGTTATGTGGGGCAGCCACAACACTTCACTTCTTCCACCTCTGTGTCTGCAATCAGGAGATTCCAAGGAAATCAGGGAGACTCTCAGGGAGAGGTTGGTAACTCCTGTAAGTGACCAATAAAAAAAGATTTTCTGTTTTTACTCACCGCCTCACCTGCCTTGGTCTGGAGCCTCTCTAATTTTCCTTCTTGTCTCAGCTAGGAAAGAAAGTTAAAGATGAAAACAAATAAAAGACAAATAAGACAAACTCTTATTATGCTGGGCATAGACTGGACTTTTGGATTCCTGTTCTTCTACTTCCTATTTCATTTTCAAATTAAATATCAAAAGTAAGGAACTCGCTAGAGAAAATCTTAAAAGTTTTATTCCTCAGGTCTCTCTGTCCTTCCTTTAAGCTCACCAATTTCTCCTCTTCAAACAGCTTCCTGTTTTCAGGGGATGCGTATACAGCCAGTCCCTGAGGAAGGAGTTGATTACGACCCACAGATTTTTTCACTGAGACCAGGTCACCTCGGACTCCAAGTTCTGTCAATGATAACAACAGAGGCAACCGATTAGAACAATCTAGGAGTCCCTAAAGAAAAGATGATCGAAGAGAGAATTGCATCTATTTTCTCACTGTGTGTATTTTCCTGACGCTAATTCATATTCACTGGGAACAACACTTAAGAGACTGCTAATTAGTTTCTTTAGGATCTGCTGTCCTAAAGGAAATTTAATATAACCCTGCATAGAGTGAGCTCTCCCATCAGAGGGTTTCAGTATATGTGGCACAAACGGACAGGCGTGTGCCTCTCCCCACTCACTGCTAATGACGTTGCTGTCTTCACGTTTGCGTTTTCCATACCGGAGACCAATGTCACACAGTACTTTTTACGGCTTCTTCTCACATAAAGAGCTAATTTGTATCCGCAAAGTAGAAAAAGCAAGGCAAACAGCTGAGGGGGAAGGGCAGGAAGAGGTTGGAGCCGAACAAGACCAGCCTGAGAAAGAAAGTATCTCGGCCCGCACCTTACCCTCCACAGACTGCGTGAGGATGAGCTCCAGGTTTTCTTTGGGCCGGTGTTTCGTGTCCTCCACGAGCTTATAGACGCGGTGTCGACGGTGCAGGCGCGGCTTCCGGCCCTCCCCGGCCAGCGGCACCTTCCACCAGCGCTCCACGATGACCGTGCCCTGGCAGCCAGGAAAGCGACAGTGAGCTAGTGTCCACAGAGGCATCCTCTCCCTCCGCCGCGGCCGCTGCTCGCAGGCAGGCCCGCCACCCCCGGTCAGGACCCTCCAGGTCCCAGTGCTGCCCCAGAAGCCACACTCGGCCTAACGACTCCTAACCGAGCCAGCCCTCACCCAACTTCGAGAGAGGCTGAAGCCGCGCTCCAGGCCGGGGGCGGCCCCTTCGAGTCGCGGCCGGAGTAGCGCCCGGACGCCTCCTTGCAGCAGCCGCTCAGCGCCCGCCCGCAGCAAGGACGCACCCGCGGCCGCGACGGAGGCGGCCGCCATGTTCCCGGGCTCCGCGGGAGACACGAGTCAGGACCCCGGCGTCCGGAGGCAGAAAGGCCCCCGCGGGGCTGCCCGCGGCGCGCCTGAGCCGGCCGGCTTTGTTGAGCTAAACTGAGGCCGGAATATCCCGCGGCTTCCCCGCCTCGCCGGCGCGGTGAGATGAGAGCTGAGATCAGTGCTCCAAGATCCAGCATTTTCCTCACCCTTCTCTCCCTATTTCTTTTTTTTTTTCTTGGCGGGCCTAGGGACGCCCGTGATTATTGCCGGATAATGGAGTGCCTGTTAGGTGGATCGACTCTGGCAAAGACTCTGCCTTCCTCTTGACTTTCTCTTGCAAGTGGGAACGTGGGTTTAGCCTCAGTTGCTGTCTGAGGTAGTTTGTTTTGTTTTGAGTTGGAGTCTCACTCCGTCGCCCAGGCTGGAGCTCGGTGGCACCCTCACGGCCAAAGCAGCATCGGACTTGCTGGGCTCAGGCGATCCTTCCGCCTCAGCCATCCAAGTCGCTGGAACTGCAGGTGTGCGCCACCACGCCCGGCTAATTTTTTGATGTATTGTAGAAACGAGGTCTCACCAGTTTGGCCAGGCTGGTCTCGAACCTCTGGGCTCTTTCGCTTCCGCTTCCCAAAGTGCTGGGATTACAGGCGTGAGCCACCGCGCCTGGCCCTGAGGTAGCTTTTAATTGACATTCTGGGACAGCTGGACTCGAAAAGAAGCATGCTCCTCTCACTCTGCCTTCCTTAAAATCTGCCTAAAAGTGATGGAAGGATGGGATCCTTTGGAAAACTCTGCCAACTCTAGAAGAAGTCTAACCCTTAATCATTATAAACTGCAGTATTTAAGCTAATATTTAAAAGAGAATTCTAACTCCAAGGGATATACATATACGACTTAGAAAAAAAGCAACTATGGTAGGGCCCAGACAGTTCCCTCTGTGGAGGGTCTCATACTAGAAAGACCAAAAAACAGGATGAAAAGACTTCTGTTTGGCACAGAAGAGTTTGGAAAGACACTCTATGCAGCATCATATTTGGTCCTTAAGCATCCTTCCTCCCAAATTACACTTTACTCAGCTTCCAGAACACCAGTCTTCTACAGTTTCCTTTGCTGATTTCTCCTTTCCTCTCCACTTCTTAGAGTTACCCCAGGACTCAGTCTTTTAACCTTTACTCTTCTCAGTATATGAGGTCCAACAAAGTTCACAAATGCATCCTAGAAAAAGTTCTACATGTTTCATTACTGAATATCACTTACAGTCACCTTCGAAGTACACTGCTTGGGAAGCTAAGCACCAACGCCAGTGCTTAAATCCACCTGTTAAACCAATTTTGAAACTCTTTCTGCAATGGCAATCAGACCCATCGTTGTATTATCCTTGATGTCTGGAATGTCATCAGATGTCTTCCTTGCAGTGTTTCCTTTATCTTTGGGTAAAGAAAAAAGTCACTGGGGACCAAATCAGGTGAGTAGGGAGGGTGTTCTAATAGTTATTTGAACAGTGCTGCCAACGTTAAGTGCACAGTGGGAAGTTCACAAACTTAGCAACAAATAATGACAGCGCTGATGGCCACTTCAGGAAGAATTCCAAAATTGCTTTGATGAGTGGACTAGGCGCTGGCGTTGGCACATAGCTTCCCAAGGGGAGTACTCTGAAGGCGACCTCAGCAATGAGGTGTATAACACTTTTTCTACCATGGTTTGCAAACCTAATTGTCATGCCTCGTACACTCACTCTTGATCTCATCCAGGCTCATGGCTTACAATACTAGTTATATGCCAGTGACTTACAAGTTTCTATCCATTCTAGGCTTCTCAAACTCAACTCAAATATTCAGCTGCTTATTCGTCATCTTCCCCTTCTATGAGAATATCTCAAAATTAACATGTCACAAACAGATCTATATCCCCCTCCCCCCAAACTGCTCCACCTGCAGCCCTTCCCATCGCAATTGATGGAAACTTCTTCTAGTTCTTGGATTCACCTTAACTCCTTTCTCTCATACTTCATCAGGAAAGTGGGTTCTACCTTTAAATTACAGATAGTTCCTGACTTGGTTTGACTTACAATTTTTCAACTTTACAATGGTTCAAAACCAATACACACTCAGTAGAACATCAAAGTTATGTTCTATTTATTCAGACTTTATTATAAGATATGGTTTGTGTTCAATGATTTTACTCAACTGTTAGCTAGTGTAAATATTCTGAGCATGTTTAAGGTAGGCTTGATGTTTTTGGTAGGTTGTGTATTCCATACATTTTCAACTTATGATAGGCTTATCAAACGTAACCCTATTGTAAGTTGAGAAGCATCTGTAGTTCCAGAATCCAACCATTTGTCACCACCTCCAGTGTTCCACTCTGGAAAAAGACACTATGTTTCTCCTGGATTACTCAAGACTTCTAACAGATGTCCCTTAATTTTCTAAAGTTTATAATTCTCTACAGTTTATTTATAATAACACAGCCAGAGTGATCTTTTTAAAAGCACAAATCAGGCTGGGCACAGTGGCTCATGCTTATAATCCCAGCACTTTGGGAGGCCAAGGTGAGAGGATTGCCTGAGTCCGGGGGTTTGAGACCAGCCTGGGCAACTTGGCAAGACCTCATCTCTACAATAAATCCAAAAATTAGCTGGGCGTGATGGCACATGCCTGTAGTTCCTGCTATTTGGAAGGCTGAGGTTGAGGCTGTGATGGCCATGAGCTTGCCACTGCACTCCAGCCTGGGTGACAGAGGTACTCCAACTCAACAACAACAAAAAAAAAAAGCAAACACAAATCATATCATGTCATTCTTCGCCCAAAGGCCAGCCAGTGGTCTGCAGCCTCCATATAATCTGGCCCCATTAGCTCTTTTTCTTTAGTTTACACTGCTCCACACAGTGGCCTCCTTGTTTGTTTCTCAAAAACACTAGGCATATTTTCTCCTCAGGGCTTTTGCACTGGCTGTTGCTTTTGCATGGCATGCTCTTACCCCGACGGGCACAGTTAACAACCTTACCTCCTCCAAGTGTTTGATTAAATGTCATTTTTTCAGTGAGTATTTATTGCTGCAACACTGCCCCACCCTCTTCATACTCCTGATTCTCCTTTATCTTGCTCTATTCCCCACCACAAGTTATCTTCGAATATACTAAATAATTTACCTATGTTAAGTTTCTAGGTTTGTTCTTTTATTTTAGAAGAGTCCCACAGGGCAGGGATCTGTTTTGTTTATTGATGTATCCCAAGCATCTAGAGTAGTGCTTGGCCCACAGTAGGCCTCAATAAATGTTGAATGAACAAATGAATAAGTATAAGTCTCAAACTGGTGGCCCCAGAACCAACTTTTGCTTACAGCATTGACTTAAAAAAAAAAAAAGCTTTTGTATTTTGTTAGTAGCCAATTTTTTTTTAAACTGGAGAATTTTAACACAGTACTGTTTTTCCAGTTTCTGTTGGAAAAATCCTATGATCTGGCACCAAGTCTACGTTCCTGCATGGCAACTGGATGGAGACGAGTTGTGTGGACTTTTCAGACAGGTTGTAGCTTTTCATCTTGCTGCAGCCCCACCCGCAACTCATTAACTTCCAATCACTGTCTGGCATTTATTTAGTTTGCAATCCCTACGCTACAAGGCAACAGAGAAAGTGCAATAATCTGTAGTACTCCTGAGTTATTAGGGGTAGGGATAATAAAAATACTGAATTGGTAGGAACTGGGAACCAACTAATCAGGTCAACACTGAATCAGGCTTTGGAAGTCTCCTGCAGTGTCAGATACCAACTCTTAAGTTGCTGGATTTTAGAGAAGAGACCAGGGCGGGTGGGCACAAGTGCTCAGGCAGGGCTGTCTGCCAACCAGCACAGGTTTTAAAGTACTGTATTGTCACTCGAACAGTCCCAATGTGCACACTAGTTGATATGCACCTTAGTTAAGGGGGTAGGGTGGGGTAGGGGAGCAGCTGAGTCCTGAGTGACGTAAGGGCTGACCCTTTGTCTATGTCATAGTGCCCACCGGGTCACAATGACACCAGGGTGCCTTAACCTCTGCCACCCATCTCTGAACTCACTTTGCCGCAGGGAGGCACTGAACTGAAAAACTGCCTTGTAACAGGTGGCGCCCCTCTGTCTACTCCCTTTCTTATATCAAGAGGGGAAAAACACGGAACTACCTCTACCCCATCTGGTCACCGTTCGCCTATTACCTTTACTGTTACAAATACCGGATCACCCTCCGGGAGAAGATGCTGCCTTGTTGTTATAAAAGGTATTCGTTTTCATCTCTATTTGTAGTTGTTCATGTAAACAGTAAAATAACTTGAAATAATTTTCTAAGTGCAAAATAAGTGAAAATAGCAAAACATTGTGGAAGACTGGCATGGAACTTTACAATTTTTCCATCTGGCTGGACTGGGAACATGGAAACAGGCTGGTCCATAGAAAATACAGACAGCAATGCCAGAGTCTGGTCTTGTGTATCTGGAAATTACTAATCTCTCCACACCCCAGATTCTAAGATAAACCAATTTGGGTCTCTTTCCCAACCAGCATCACTTATAAGGAAGAGGAGGACTTGACACTCCGGCCCCGTGCCTGCCTCCAGTGCTCCTGAGTCCCTTGCAGGCCTCCAGGGGGGTGGAAGCACCAAGCAGGATAACCACGACCAGCTTAAAGAACTGTATTCGGTAAGTGGATTGTCAACTGGTGCTGTGACAGACACCTTGCAGAGGAGGAACATCAGCAAGTTGGAAAATGAATCAGAAAGTTAGAGGGAGGTAGAGCCTTGGAGCTCATGTGTAAAAGCTACATGTTTTACAGACAAGGATGCTGGCCTAGAGGTGGTAAATCAAGCTCATACAGCTGGTAGTGAAAAGCAGGATGGGAAAGCAGGAAGTGGGGACTAAAGCAAACTGTATTAGGAATTCTGGGACATAAAACTGTTTAGATGCTAACCTGGGTCCTGAATCCAGAACTCCTACACTTGCCCTTGTGCATCATACTGCAATAACATGCCTGACTGTAACTGCTGCATTTTAAATAATATAATTTTTATTTATTTTTTTGAGTCAGAGTCTTACTCTGTTGCCCAGGCTGGAGTGCAAGGCACAGTGCAGAGCCTTGACCTCCTGGGCTCAAGCGATCCTTCCGTCAGCCTTCCAAGTAGCGGGAACCACAGGCTAATTTTTTGATTTAATGTAGATGAGGGCTCACCATGTTGCCCAGGCTGGTCTCGAACCTGTGGGCTCAGGCAATCCTCTTGCCTCCACCACATCCGGCCTAAAATAGTAGAATTTAGAGAAAACTCATATGATGAAAAATCTGGAAAGTATTATCAGCAAGAAAGGAAATAAATTAGACTTTCTTATGTAAACATTTGAAGTTTCTGAATGGTTATTCTACTCTTGGGGTGAGGTCAGCTGGTAGTAATACTGCTTAACTCCAAATTCCAGATTGTTTGATATCAAGGAGAACCCCATAAAAGGGATAGGATGTTAACCTTAGGTAAGGGATATTATTGCACCTCTAAGACCTTAGCACCATTTCTTCCAGGCTCCCTGCATCAATGTCCTCCTTGCTTCCAAAGATGTATCCAAATCTACCTGAGCTCTGGTTTGAGGACTATATGGGCACAGACACAGATCATTATCTCTCATTTTCTTTTTCAGGCTGGGAACCTGACGGTGCTGGCTACTGACCCTCTGCTCCACCAGGACCCAATTCAGTTAGACTTCCACTTCCGCCTCACCCCCAAGATCTCTGCCCATTGGCACGGCCTTCTCTGTAACCATCGACTCTTCCTAGACATCCCATACCGGGCCTTGGACCAAGGCAACCGGGAAAGGTGGCTGAGTCTGGATGGGAGAATGGGGAGGAAAGAGAATTTTATCCTTCTGTCATGTCTTACTAAATGGGGCTGATGCAGGATACAAGCAAACCATTCAACTGATATGCAGACAAACCTGTTAGCTGAGCCAGGATCCTGGGGTTCAAGGGAAAAGAGTCATGGGAAGTTGCTGGACTTACTGCAGAAGTACTTAAGTGGGAATCCAGAAACAGTTGAATAACAGGAAGCATTTTCTAGCTGTTCATCTCAATAGAGTAGGCCTTCTCTCTAGACCCCTTCTGTGATTTATGCCTTAGTTCAGTAGTGTGCAATTCCTTGGCTTTAGAGAAAAATCTACCAAAACTAGTTTAGCAACTTTCATTTCCAGGCTTGAGTAGGTGGAGGGTAGAAACTGACCATTTTTTTCTTCTTCAAGCAGATGTCTTTTTGCACGAACATTTCATTAGCTGTGTTTTCTTTCTGGCCCCCAGTTTGACTGCAACACTGGAATATGTGGAAGAGAAGACCAATGTGGACTCCGTGTTTGTAAACTTCCAAAATGACCGGAATGACAGAGGTGGGAATCTGCATCCTTTCTTGCCTTTCATGCTGAGGCAGCCGGACAGTCTCTTCTCCTTTGTAGGAGACCATCTTCCCCCTTCTCTTTAAAAAAGGCACCCTTACGTATTTGAGGGATTTTCTTTCTCCCACCACAAAGGATATTAAGGAGCCTAGCATTCTGTTCAGTTAGGTTACAACTGGATTATCAGGAAGCTCCTGCAGGTGGAGTCAGAGGCCAGACTGAAGGAGCACTGATGAAATTACACAGAATCCATTCGAGGAATGTGGTCAGCAAGAAAAAAAGGATCTCAAGCAAATGTACTGAGTACTTACAATGTGAAAGGGTTGAGCATAAGGCCAGGAGAATAGAAATATATTATCTACATGCTTGGAGTATATTATAGAAACTATAACCTCTTCCCTCAAGGAGTTATAAGACAAAGGATAGTCAATAACCGTTTGTAAATAGATACCATCTCAGAGTTTACTATGCCATCATGGTGTTTAGCCTTCATAAACATCTCATTTAATCATAAATCCCATGAAGAAAGTTCTACGATTTCCACTTTACAAATGAGAAAACTGAAGTTCACAGAACAAGCTAAGTGTAGTGTTAAAGCCAGGATGAGAGCCTAGATCTGTTTGATCTTGCAGCACATCCTAATGCCTGCACCACATGACTTTCAGGGCCACTCTCTAGTGGAGGAAACAAAATCTGGGGGAATATGTGTCTTGAGTTTCAGAGTATTCTAATCATTTGTTCTATCTTTTCACAGGTGCCCTGCTGCGGGCTTTCAGCTACATGGGCTTTGAGGTGGTCAGACCAGACCACCCTGCTCTCCCTCCCTGGGACAATGTCATCTTTATGGTGTATCCCCTGGAAAGGGACCTTGGCCACCTGCCCAGTGAGCCTCCATGAACATGCTTATTCCAACTCCATGAGGGGCTGGAAGCCCTGACACATGGGAACCAGGGGTCCAGGATGTGATTCAGGCCACATACTAGGAATAAAAGGGTAGTGCGATCATTAAGTGTTCACTGTTTCTTGGGATAAAAGGGTGGGCTGGAGTGGAACATGAACCCTACAGAGCTGGATTCACTGTAGGATGAATATTTAATGTCTGAAAAGATCAGAGGGACCTGAAACAGGGAAGGAAGGGACCCAAGAATTTTAGGTTCCCTTTACCTTCCTTGCTGCCCCAAACCATTTCCCCTTTTTTTTTTTAAAGGCAGTATTTATTTATTTATTTTTTTGAGTTAGAGTCTCACTCTATCGCCTAGACTGGAGTGCAGTGGCCGCTCCCGGCCACCGCAGCCTCG